GATCTCTTTTAAAAGGTTTTAGAAGGTTAGAAGCTATTTGCTAATCCTAACCCCCAAACAGAATATTGGAGATCTTGGAGGAAAACTTCTAGTGCCTTATAAAATGAATAAAGCACAATTATTTTTAACTAAGTGTGTTTTTATAGCTGCTGTCGCCAATAGTCGTCCTCCTGTTCTGTCAGAATCCGGCCTGTGTGTCTCCCTTGGGACATTCCTCCTAGTGACTTCAGTGCATAGTCTGACATTGAATCTCCCGTAATTGCATTAAGAAGGAGCTTATTTTGAGTTTTTTGCTTTTCCCTATGTTTTACTTCATAAAATGGTGGGATCTTCACTTAATTTAGTAGCACGTACCTTTTATTTCAGGTTGTAATTTTGTCATTGTTTTGCCAGTAACACATACCCTGTTCTTTAGAGGGTGACCATTGTGTGGGAGCATTCGGAAGGCTGTCACCGTGCCTCCGGCCTGCACCTTCAGTGTTGAGGAATATTGGTGTTACTTAGAAATGCAGTGATTGGTTTCCACTCGGACAATAGAAAGTTTTTGTTTCTTTGAGTAAATTCTGACTTCAGCAGCAAGTGTAAATTTCTCCACGTTAGTGTTCTGCACGCCAACATTTTCGTTTTCCTAGTTACCTTTGAGCAGTTGTTGAGTCTGAAGACCTGGGAAATTTTTTCACTGCATTTTAGGTATGAAGATGGGTAAGATTTGTCCTTGACTTTCTGGACTTGTGAAAAGTTATGTCTCTGTCAACCTCTGGTCTGAAGGTGAAGGTTATATTTTCAGGTTGTATGGTTGACTCATATTGGGGAGAAAGGATGACTTTTTAAGGCAGTACTATGTAAGAAGATGTTCCAGTGAGTGTGGACCTTTTATCACCGATATAAAACAGATAGTGTCAACTAGAACACAAACAAGTGGAGTGAGGACTGTGTAGGAAAACAGAGACTTAAAGCACCGGCACCCAGGAGGGCAGGGCCTTGTGCCTGGAGTTCCTTTCAAGAGACGCTTTCTAAAATTTGTGAGAGTTTGTCCTGGCTGAAGGGTCTTGGGTTTAACTCCCAGTCAAGGGCCTTACCTGGGTTGCGGGTTTGCTCCTGCCCCAGGTCAAGTGTGTGTGGGAGGCAATCAGTCGTTGTGTCTCTCTTATATTAATGTTTCTTTCTCCCCCCCCCCCTTTCTGAAAAGCAATGGAAAAAATATCCCCTGGTGAGGATTAACAAAAATAAAAATAAAATAAAATTTGTGTTTGATAGAAATAAATGGTGGCTTTACTGGAGGGGTGGGCGCTGTCCTTCCCTCTCTCCATCTTCTATGCTGACTTAGGCCATGGAACTTGGAGTGACTGACTTAGAAGGAAAAGAACCTGATTTTCTGTTGAATTGGACCTATAAACTTCTGTATTTTTCTGTGGGATCTGTCTTGCTGTCATGTGAACACGTTGATAGTATCACTGAATGTCACAATATTGATCACCGTGACTACCTGTCTCAGAAACTGTGACTCAAAGTGTCAGAGGCTCTGTGAACTCTTCTGCCTGAACAAGCCCTGATGAAACCTAGCGATGCGAATGTCAAGGGACTCCAAGGCTGGGAATTGCATGCTGGGTTCGTGGAGCAGCTCTTGACAGATGGAGGGGGGGGGGCTGGCCATTCTGGACACCTGGCACATCGGCCCATTGTTCACAGAAAATACATTAAGGAGAGAAGATAACTTACCAGCTTTTCTTCCTCCCTCTGCCTTCATTCTTTCCACCTTCTCCCCTTTCATTTTCATCATTTCCCCCCTTTTACTTTCATTAACTTATTAGTGAATGATGAATGGCAAAGCTTCAGGATAGTGTTCCAAGATAATTAGCTACTTTGAAGTTCTGCTTTATATATGAGTAACATTGAAAATATCAAATTGCCTATGCCAGCATTGACTTCATTAATGACCAGCAGAATTTGATTTCTTTGTTTAAAACACATAATAATAAAAGTATAGGCTCACTTTCTATGGAGACGAAAGGTTTCTTAACAACTTTGCTTAATACCACACAGCTAAGATTTATGAAATATTATAGCTTTATTCTCTTGCTGCAGTCTAGAACTGGGATTGACCCAGACCAGGGTCCTGCTGGAGCTAATGTGACTTTTGGGTTTGCAGGAATGAACTAGAACAAGACTGGATTGTGGAACTTAGAAAAGCCGACAAATTCGCTCAGCAACTCTCCTGTATTAGCCAGTCCTTATAGGAGTGTGCAGGGCCTCTGCACACCTAAGGAGCACCTCCACGGGGGGAGCTCACCTGGCTTTAGGGGGTTGGTTTTCACAATGCAGTGAGAGCTGTTTAAGTTACAGAAGGCATCTGCTCTTCCCCCAAATCTCTACTTTTAAAAATTTCAGACCTGTACAGTTACACGCTTGGCATTCTTCTAATCTTCCAGTACACAGAGCAAGGAGTGCAGCGGCCGTGCACTTCTGAGCAGCACTGAAACATGCCAGACCCTCTTTCAAAGAAAACTTGACCCAGCTCGGCTGACCCGGCCTATGTCCGGTCTGCACAGCGCTCTTTCCCTGTCCCTGTCCCTGTCCCTGTCCCTCCCCTCTCCCTTCCCTCTCCCTTCCCTCTCCCCTCTCTCTCCCCTCTCTCTCCCCTCTCCTCCCCTCCCCTCAGGGGCTGAGGCGAGTGTGCAAGTATCCTGATCGCTGGTCTGCAGGCTTTGTTTCTGCCCTGGGGAGGAACAGTTGCGAGTGCTGTGTGACTCACTGGCTCCCACCTTCCCCTTCGGGTTCTGATTGGCCGTCACCTTGCTCCAGCCATATGGCTGCAGAGGACTCTAGCCGGCGCCCCGTCTCCTCCTTCCCCTACTGTTGTCTGTTGTGTGCGGCCCTGGGGTGGGCTCGGGCTTTGTCTCTGGCTTGGGCTTGCCCAATTGGGCAGGCCGTGGGAGAGCACACTGTATGTCCTCAGGACGGCTGGAGAGGAGGAAAACACCCTTTCCTTTTGCGCCTGGTATAGTAATTATTTAGTGTCCTGTGCTGTTCTTGTTCAAAGTTTATCTTTCGGCAGGTGTCACATTCGTGGTGTGTGTTTTCCTCCTGGTTTCTCTCCTTCTCCTGATTTGGGTTTTTTAGTGTTTTTTAAAAAGGTTTTTGGGGTCCCTTTCTCTCACTACTATATTACACTTTTGTTAGTTTGTTATTATGTTCAGTTAACGCTGATTAATATGTTTGGCCGTGGGGGGTGGGGCTGAAAGCAACTCTAAATAATTATTTGTTAAATGTCTGGCAGTCACCAAGCAATACACTCTACCTCTGATTCTCAGAATTATCCATAGCACCCATACTATTACCTTCCCTTCCCCTAAACTATATCAGTTCATTTACTCTGCCATTTATACTTGAGACTTGAAAGTTAATTTTTGTAAGCATTTGATGTTTTTATTAATTTGCATTTTTATTAGTCTGCAGATGGTTTCTACAGAGACATTGGACTCTGCACCCTTTTTTTTCTTTTTAATATTTAACTGCTGAAAGAGGAAGTGCTCGCAGAGTATAAAGTATAGCAGACTTCCCCCCCCAAATTGGCCTTTATATGATATTTTCATTGCCTAAAAAAAAAATCAATAATAAAAATATTAAAAATTCTCTCAAGAATGTATTTTGTATTGACTTAAAGTTTTTAAAAATCCATTTTGTAAATGTTTTAATATTCAAGTATGTTAAGCCAGTAGCCTGCAGGTTTGGATTCTTTAGAGAATACAGGCAGTGAGGTTGGTTAGAATCATAAGCAGGAATTTGAAAATCAACCTGGCTCTCTGATTTCACTTAACTCTTATTTAAAGATTTTTATGCACTTTTTTTTTCTCTATTAGAAAATAGCAATTTATTTTTATGAGAAATAACAAACCTCAGTTGGTGAACTCACTTGGAAGTGTATGAGAGGTGCTTCCTGTACTTTCAGCTACGAGGGCAGGAGAGTCAGAACCCAGGTCTGGCCCCAAATGGCTGTTATACATTCTGTGAGCCTTTTGCTGGTCTTTGGTCCCATCACTTTACATATCATGTGCAGAGAATGAGCACATTGACTCAGCCACAGAGCATGGTTGTGAGCAAAAGTCCTTTCCCTCGTGGAACTTATCTTCTGTTGAACTGTATTATATAGTAATGAAGGTACCCACATATGCATTTTCTTGGGTTTGAACAGGTCTAGAAAATTCAGCAAACCTTAATTTAAAATTATTATCCTGTGTAACTAAATCCCTACTCTGCCTAAACAAATGTATGTTTCTATAGATCCTAGCCCCCCAAAGAAGTCCAGCTCACGAGTTACGCATGTCAGTAACTTAGAATGTCTCTTGTTTATATTACATATTTCTGAGATCAAGTTTTCTTTGTTTTAAAAGTCCATTTAATGTTTGAATATGAGATAAATACATGATATTTGTTTGATTAAGAAAAATTAGTATGGCTGGTAACTGTTGTCAGACACAAAAAGAAAAATGACCACCAATGTGCCAGTCACAGTTCTGAGTACTTTATATCTAGCAGCTGGTTTGGACTTGTCAGAACTCTAAGGATATTGTTAGTTGCTGCATTTTACAGAACAGGAAATTGAGCCATAGGTAGGTTCAGTAACGTGATCAACATCATGCAACTGGTAAGTAGCAAAACCAAAATTTGAATTGAGGCGGCGTGTCTCAGGCGTGTCTCCAGTGCCACGCTGTGCTGCGCTGCCCTTCCAGCCTGGCGCTAAGCTAGTGACGGTCTAGAAACCTGAGCTCTGCTGTGTGACCTCCATTAGCTGTTCTTCTCATCTGCGTGCCTCAGTTTCCCTTTATATAGAAAACATTTCTTACTCCATAGGTTTCTCCTCATTTGTCAAATCTGTAAATTTTAGATGTAACAAGTTTTAGGTTAAAGATATGAGAAGGCGTATAATTGCTACATATTTCTATACAGCTGGTAGGACAATATTCTGATAGGTTTTATTTCTTTTTCTTCTCATTTGGTAGAAAAGAGTAGTTGAACAGCTACGGAAGAACCTGATAGTAAAGCAAGAACAACCAGACAAGTTCCAAATACAGCCATTGCCACAATCTGAAAACAAACTACAAACAGCACAGCAGCAACCACTACAGCAGCTACAGCAACAACAGCAGTACCACCACCACCACGCCCAGTCGGCGGCCCCCTCTCCCAGTCTGACCGCGTCCCAGGTAAAGTGTGGGCGGAGCACTGCAGGCTTTGGGTTGTACACTTCTGTGTTACTGGTCATGGAGAGCTGGGTCCTGTTTCAGACTATGTGAAGCTCAACTAGCTCTAAATAACAGTTATTTTGGTTACTTATTATAACTGGGGTAAGACTCACTTGAAATTCATTTGCAGAAGGAAATAGCATTGCTAAGGAGTCAAAGTTAAATCATTTCCCACCTGTCCAAAGAAGGAGGGGAAAGGTAGTCGGTGACCAAGAAAAACTGCTTCTCTGTATAAGAACAGAAGTAAAGTCTTATTTTGAATTTCTGGAAATATTTATTTGAGCTTGTTCTAAAAGTCTGTATGACTTTATCTCCTCTGGAATTGTTGTTTTTCTGGAATTCTTAGCAATTAGGTGTAGAGATATTACAGGAGCAGTGCCCTCGGGACCAGGTAGAAAGAGGCATTTAGAAGGGTGATATATTTCCATTATTCATAGAAACAAAATATTCATTTCTAAGTTCATATTCATGAGACTGTGAATCCATTCTAATACACAGAAGGAAATCTGAAATGGAAGCTGCAGGTCAAAACTAGCACTAAGGAGTAGAAGCTTAATAACATTCTAACTTAGTGTAGCTGTGCAAATGATTTTACTGCAAAGGGCATTTAAACTAGCATATAATGTAAGGATAGGTTGGCATTCAAGACACACAAAAAGGACATATTTGGGAACGAGATTCGATTAAGAAAATTATTCAAGCTTGATTTCCACACACTTAGATATACTGTGGGCACAGCTTTTAAAATGGGACAATTGAGCAGTGGTTCTTGATCCTTGGAGGTCACAGACCCATTTAAGACTATTGAAAGCTGTGGCTCTGCTCCCCATAAAAATACACATTTACACTTAATACACTCATTTTTGCACATGATTTCAAGGACTTAGATCTTTTGAATCCTAAGTGTGGCTATCTCTGACCCACCAACATCCAGTCTTCACTGTATCTTTATATGTAAAGGAAAAGGTTATAGTTTACTTGGTTCTTTACTGTTTACAGATATTGGGCTGGTTAATAAATAATGTTTTTTAAGTAAAGAATGCATTCCTTATAAAAATACTAAAGATTACTGAAGACAGTTAACATTTAATAGAGGTTACTATATATTGGCACTCTCCTAAGTGCTTTACGTATGTAACGTACACAGTCCTCACTCCAACCCTATAAGTAAGGTGGTGGTGTTGTTATTATTTCTCTCTTTTTTTTTTTTTTAAAGAAAACTAAGGCCCAGAGAGATTAAGTAATTACCTAAAATCATATAGGTTGTATGTGGTGGAGCCAAGATTTGAACCCAGATGTTCTGGCTGAAAAGTCTATGCATTCACCCCTCTTCTATACTGCCATACAATACCAAAAAAAGAAACGCCGACATTATATAAAATGCCAAAGAAGGGCAAAGAAGAATCCCTGTTGTGAATCAGATAGTTAGAGCAACCTACATAATGTTTACCCTGATCTCCACCCCAAGGCTATTTGAAAATTAGGGATTCAAACTCACTTCTGAACCCCCCTGGCCAGGACTTGAATATCTTCTGAAAAATTGCTTACCACATTACTTTGTTGGACTTTTAAACAGAGTCGGATTAGGTTGTTATCTTTCCAAAGTACAGTTTGATCAGAAAGTGTTTACATGGAAGGAGTGTGGTAGACTTCATTATTTCCTGGTACGTAAGAACTTTCTCTCTTGACCCATGGAAACTTTCTGTTCAAGTACCACTCCACGCCACACAAATCAGAGAACACACTTCAGTAATACTTATAATAGCTGTTCCCTTCCTGGTGTGACCTGAGTTATGTGCTGCTTTGAGGTGGCGACAGTGGGAGGCCGAGGGCTATCCCCAAAACAGTGTTGTGTGGCATGTCTCTGTCTGAAGCCCACATGATACATTTGATTGATTTGGTTAAGCTTGTTCTATATTATTTTGTTTTATGAAATGCAGATATTTAATGTTAAAAGTCAAAAGATCCTCTAGGTTTTGGGGTTTTGTTTTACAATAAATAACCACTCAGGATTTATTGGGTACTCTCTTTGTGCTAGATTCTGGTATACAACGAGGTAATAATGGCCCCTGCCTGGAACCTCATAGACTATAATTATCTTCATTCATGCTGTAAACATTTATCGAGTCTTTACTGTATGCAAGCAGTGTGCTAGGCGATGTAGAGGATAGCTTCACAAATAAGAACTTCTGCCTTCAAGAATTTAAAAACTTTAGAGAAGTTTAACAAAGAAGAATAAAATGAAAGTACCTGTAAAGAGCTGTGAAGATTCCAGAGGCAGAGGAATTGTGAGTGGAGGGATCAGAAAGTACTTCATGAAGGAGGTGGCGTTTGAGCAAGGCCTTGACGGATGAGTGAGATTTCAGCGGTGAACAGCGGGAGGAAGAGCATCTCGGGTGTAGGGAACAGTGTGAGCAACAGTATGGAGTGAAAAACGTAAAAGCGTGCCCCGGGAGCAGACCGCAGGCCGACGGGGCTGGATGCGCGCTACAGGATACGATGGCCAGGGAGATGGACCGCAAAGGGAGGGAGGGGCTGGCTTTGCAAGCCCCTTGTGGGTGAAAAACCTTGGGGAATTTGGGCAGTCGTAGGGGGTCATTAAAGGTTCATGAGGTCAAGGACAAATGAGAAGTTGTATGTGGCATATATCAAATATCTAAGTTCAGAAAGCAGTAACTATTAAGTGGCAATCACAGCATGGGCAGGGAGGAGAAACTTTTATTCTAAGTCAGGTTAGCATGTACCAAGGTACGGGGGAGTAGGGGGACCAGCTCCTTTTACTTACTTAACTCCAACTCATGCTTGTATGTATATTTTTGAAATTTTTTCAGTCTACAGGGGAAAAAGTGATTGCAGGTGTACCCTTCAACTTATATTCACAACCCTGTCACTTTTAATGATGTAATACAGGCATAAAGAAGCATGCAGTTAATAAACCCCCACAGAAAATAAACCCTTACAGACAAAAAGGAAGGACTCTGTTTGTAGTTGTTTGAGTGTACAACAGTGACCTTCTATTCAAAAGTAGACAAAGAAAATTGTCTAAAATGGATGTGGCAGTTAATTAGAGCCCATAGTAATAATCCCTCTAAGTTCTGACTTGTGCATTGAAGTCTGTATATTTTTAGTCAATACCTCATGCTTTGTAGGTGTACAACAGTAATAACAAGTAATAAAAAAATAAATGAAAAAGATTTTGCAGTTAGTGCTTATTGCCATGTATTTCTGTGTTAACTTCCAGTTTGTGCAGTTTGGGCTTTGTCAGAATTGAGAACCCCTTCATGAGATTGTGGGGAAGCTGCCATCTTCTCTTGAAGGCAGTCATACTTGGACAGCATCGGCAGCCAAGGCCAGCTTCCATAGAAATAATTTTCTTTGTTGTTGGATATCTTTCCTCTCTGTGTCTTTTTTCCTCCTGTCAGAACAGTTCAGAGGTTCTTATTAGGTTTGAATTTCAAAACTGTAGGTTCTCTTTGTCATCTAAACTCTAATACTCCAAGATTGGTTTATGTTCCTAATACTTAGACTAGAATAAGCACCAGGCCAGGAGTAAAGATCCAAATAATACCTGGTGTGAATAAATAGTTAGTAAATATATTCTCCAAAAAGCTTTCCTTGTGCCTGTGTATACAAAGAGTTATATAGCTGCTGAACTACATGGACTGTAGTAAAATTAGCCACAACTAAATATTATAAAGTAGAATAAAAATGCTAACCTAAGATGTGACGAAGCTTGTTAGGTTTCTGTTTTTTAAGCGTTGCAGTTAATGGTAAGTATATAATTCAGGTGAGTTTGAGGTTTTACTTAATCCCTTTAGGGTATTCAAAATATTGTTAATGATTTACCTGAAACAAGGATGTTTCAGACAAAAGTATATTAACCTCTTTTAAAGCCATAACAACATGCACACTGTCTTTAAAATCACAACAGTAAGTTCTGCTGATTAGAGCTTTACTTCCATAGCCCATGTAGTACCAGGATGTGACTTGCTCACCACTTCAAAAGTTCTCTGTATTTAGATGTTTAAATTGAGAGATAGAGCTACTACTACACTGGGTTAAAAACGCTTATTGTAAATAGCTGGTAATGTGAAGCCGGTCCTTGCTGCTACACTACGGTAACATTTCTGATGATAGGTATTAGCTTTTACTTGGTTTTCATCACTGAGAGAGTAGATGTCCTACTAACCTCTAAAATAAGTATCAGTATTCCCCTTTCACTCTCATTTCACATTTGAGGAAACAGTGTGAGGAGAGTAAGCCACTCCTGTGTTGGTCACTCAGAGAAGAGGAAACAAAGACTTGGGTGATTTTGGTGACAAGCATTAATTAGCATTGCTGACTAGGCTGTGATGGGCTAGAGGAGGCCAGGTCATTCAAGTGTTGGTTAAAAGAAAAAGAAAAAAATTAAAATATTAGGTAATACATGCACGTGTGTATGTGTTTAAGGCAGAAAATGGAAATAAAGAGTTACCTATAACCAAACAACTTAAAACACAAGTACTTACATAGACACTGAAATAGAAATTCACAAGCGAATGTGTCCAGATCTGATTCAGGGAGAGTGGGGTCCTTTTCACTGGTCTAGAGCAGTGTTGTGCAATAGCACTTTCTATACTGTTGGAAATCTCCACCATCCAGTTTGGTAGTCATGAGCCATGTGTGGCTGCTCAACACTTGAAATGTGACTAGGTGACTGATGAACTGATGTTTTAATGAATTTAATTTAAACAGCCATGCGTGGCTAGTAGCTACCAAATTGGACAGTGCAAGTTAAAGTAAGAAAAAGGTGGGGTGGTATCAAATTCAGAACCAGCAAGTTGGACCAGATAAATTTTATGTTCCTGAAATGTCTGTATCTTGAGTGACTAGTAGCACTAGATAGATGTGTATGCCATGTAACTGGCTCCTTTAATTACTCTAGTAGAAAGTCTAGAAAAACAGAGCTTCAAAGCAGCAGGAGCTCTTATGGAGCATCAGTCAGGCCCTCTCACCTCGGTTCATCCTCTGATCTATAAGGCTTTTTGAAACTCAGGTGTTTGTTTCCACCTTGTCACGTTTCACTGGATCTTTGATCGCTCTGCAGCAGTTCTCCAGAGAAAAGATACAGGTAGTGCCTCATATCTCTTTGGTATCAAGAGCTGGTATTTACTATACTAGTTGGCTTTATTATCTGGTGTTTGGCATTTACTGCCTTTGAGGCAACAATTACACTAATGCTCATATGAGGTTCCTTCCACCTCTCCAGGGTGACACTCAAAAGAATGAAAAGATACTGTCCTTTTATCCCTTTGTGACACAGAAGGCAGATAATCAGAATTATATGATGGCCTTCTTCCTATTGATGAGATTGTAGCAATTAAGGATAGAGATAGTGTGTGCCTCATTGATTTTCAACTTCTACAAAATTTAAATTAATTGAGAGCAAGCTGAGAATCAGAAAAAACAGAAGAAATAGGTATACTCATGTTCTGTATCTATAAACCCACTCCATTCATTGTTGAAAACTTTGTGCCCATATTAGCCACAGTTATTTCTGTGAGCTTAAAGCTAAGTTTGAGAATCCTGCAAACTAGAAATTGCCTCCTCTATAGTAAGACATGTGTTCTATGTTCCCAGAAGAAATATTGTTATACTGAGAACCTTGATTATGAGAATTAATGGCTTTGTTTTCTGTTGGGGGTTAGCAGTATATTGTTTAGTAGGATCACACTTCAGTGTCCTAATACCTGTTCTCCATGTCTCCTAGAAGACTGTAACTACAGCTTCTATGATTACCACAAAGACACTACCTCTCGTCTTGAAAGCAGCAACTGCGACCATGCCTGCCTCTGTTGTGGGCCAGAGACCTACCATTGCTATGGTGACCGCCATCAACAGTCAGAAGGCTGTGCTCAGCACTGATGTGCAGAACACACCAGTCAACCTGCAGACGTCTAGTAAGGTCACTGGGCCTGGGGCAGAGGCTGTCCAAATTGTGGCAAAAAACACAGTCACTCTGGTAAGCCAGCAGCTGCTACTCATGTGTGCCCACATGAGAGGGTTCAGGATATGCATTTGTAGAGTATATCCATTTTATGCTCCTGCTGGATTGTCCAGTCTCCATCACTCTACCACACCAAATTCCCCTTTGGGGCCCACTAGGGAATATAGCTTTCCTACTGTCTACTCCAGTAACTATAGAGGTGTCCTGACACCAAAGACCAAACCCATTCAGTGCATTACCTGAGGTCAAAGTGCGACTTGACTAGAGGGGGGTAAATGTCCTTCACAGAGGCATACACACTGTTTCATGTACCTCTCCCTGCTATCCACGGCCCTGCCTGTGAATTGAGTGCTTAGACTCTCTGGTGCCATGTTACTGATTTGGTGAAACTCCCTAGTGAATTCTTAGAGTTCACTATCCTTTGAAACTGACTGCACCCAGAAGTACTGGACCAAACTGTTCATGAGATTTCTCGGGTAAACCATTTAGCAGCTGATGTTCTCAGAATCTTGGAGAAGGATATCCAAATTGTGGTTTAAAAGTTTGCTCCTAAAATGGCAACTTAGAGTTCTTGGTGGCTTTTGAATGATGACCAGTGACAAGTGAAACTAGAGAGCAGTGATGTGAAGCTTCACCACTTAAACCCAGGAATCTTTAGAGAAGCAACCAGATAACTCAGTCAGATGCTGAGAGTGAGAAGATTCTCTATTAGGAACCAAGCCATTCGCTGTTAGAAAAAGCTCTGTATTAGGAAAGGGCCCATTTGACCAGGCAGCAAGTCTGATTTGATTTTGGATCCAGTCTTGAATTTTATAATATGTAAGAGTTCTTGAGTGTCGAAGAAACTAAGATTGCCGGGCCTGCATGTTCTCCATTAGGTATGTGAGGAAACAGATGTGATTGGTTCACTCTGTGGGGTAAGGCATACAGGGGGGAGAGTGTTAATTCAGGTGGTTAATTCTGTAGTGAAAGCTTTTAAAAATATTGTCTGATCCAGAGAACAGTGGTGCTGAAAATACTTTCAGAATGTCTAACTTGGATATTGAACATTTATTGTCCTCTCTGGTTTACTTACCTTTCTCATTTGTTAGCAGGTTCAGGCAACACCTCCTCAGCCCATCAAAGTACCACAGTTTATCCCTCCTCCTAGACTCACTCCACGTCCAAACTTTCTTCCACAGGTGAGTAAACCGTGAGCCAGTGAGGGTTAGTGGACAGAGGTCCTCACGGGCCCTTTCTATGCAGCCTTGTTGGCTCAGCTGCATGCAGATCCCACTTAGCTAGAGATTCCAGCTGCTGATTCCTACATCGTGAGGAAGCTTATTGTATCATCAGGGTTTCTTAACAGTGACCAGTGGCACTAGCAGGGGAATGTAAGGAAAGGAAAATTTCCTAAACTTAAAATAATTAAGATAACATCATTTTAAACCTTATAATGTTTATTTCCTGGAAAAAGTTAGCCAAAACCTGCCTGCCAGTGGGGAAGGAGTATAAATACCACTTTTTATGTGTTTCCCCGATGTGCTAATGAGAGCAGAAGGAAACAACAGCTAAACTAACCAGTCGAAACCATTCAGTTGTACTCTGGAAAGCAATGGTGTTGAGCATCACACTTAAGCACAAAGCCGTGCTGATGCCGATTTAGACCAGGGTCTCCACAGGGAGCTTTCTGTGGAGGCCCAAGCAGCTCAGCTTGCCCGCCTTCTCTTAGAATGTTCTTCAGCAGTTGGACTGAACTCACCGTTCCCGTGGCAGAATGTCGGGATTGCCCCGGTCTGCACCTTGAGGGGAGTTGATTTGCCTGATGGAAAGGCTGGGAATTCCTTTCTGAGGCCCCAGGTTTCAGGCAAAGAGAGAAGGAAAGGAATTTTGTGGTCAGTGACCATAAGTGATTTCCGAACTGCCTGTATGATTTTAATCATTTATCAGATAAATTCTTAATAATTTATTTGTGTTTCAAAACTGGGACTAAACACTATGGATACGCCAGTTTTCAAGACAGACTTTTCCCTGCCCTCAGAGAGTTTCAGACACATGTATAGGCAATTATACCGTCTGTTATGGGAAGTACAGAGTAGCCTGAGACCACCTGGGGAGGGATGGATACCCAACTCATTCTTAAGAATATTACAGAACATTTCCTTGAATAGTTGACATTCTGAGACCTGAAATCCTAGTAACGTTAGTCTTAGGTTTTGGGGGAAGAATAAAAATGCTCCAGGCAGAAGGCGAGACAGACACGTTAAGTGGGGGATGGAGAAATGCACGTAAGCGTAAGGAGCCACACAGGATTCGATGTGGCTGCGTACAGTGGGCCACATAGCTGACGTGGGCTAGAGTAAGTGGTGAGGCTGGAGAAGCCCAGTGGCCAGAGCCTGTGGAGCATTATATGCTGTATAGGAATTTGGGCCTTGTCCCAGGAACAGTGGGAGCCATTAAAGCATTTTCAGACAGGTACTTGGCATGGTCAGATTTTTGTTTTAGAAAATTCCTTCTTGCCACTGTGTAGAGAATAGATGAGAGGTGGTCAAGACTGTGGGGAGGAAGTACAGTTAGGATATTGTCTACAATACTGATAGCTGCTATTTAGAGAATATTGCTATGTGCCACTTACTGTGTAGGCACCTCACACCAGTTATCTATTTTAATGCTCACAGCAACCCTATGAGAGTAGGTGTTGCTCTTTTTTAGGTAAGGACTCTAGGTCTTAGTCCATGTTTTTTAAATGGTGGATCATGACTCATTAGTCGGCTGTGAAATCAGTTTAGTGGATTGTAAGCAGAGCTTTTAAATAAAATGAACAAAACATAATAGGAAATACTAGAGTACATAGCACATAAGCATTGTTTCGTGAAGTTTTTATTTTATAGAGATAGAGATACGCATATGCCTGTGTGTGTGTACTGGCTACAGTGTGAAATGTATTTCCTACTATGTGACTGTAGCACTCACCATAGGGTCACCTTAAGTTGAGCTAAACATTCAGACTCACAAGATTGTCAAGGGCCACACTTGGCACCAACCTACTTAGAACGATATAGAACAGAAACCAGAACTTGCCAGCTGTTGCTCAGCGTCAGACATTTTCCTTGAGTGCGTATCCCTGTAGTAGCCCATATAGCAGTCTCTGTAGCTGTCCAGGGATAGCTCAGGGGTAGGGCAGTCAGGACAGTGGGAGAGCCACTCTGCATGGAAGCTTTGTGCTTCACAGAACCAGTGTATCTTGTAACAATTCCATAGGCACTGCTTTCAAGGTCCCCTCAATGGACATGCCCAGTTATAAGAGTCACCCCACTTCAGGAAGCCCAAAGTATTTTGTCACATCAAGTATTTATAAATCTCCCCATTCAGATTTGATTTAGCAATAAGGAGGCATTTTTACCATAAGCAATGTTGCCTGGTAACATAGTTGACATTCTTACCTTTATTAGGGTTTCCAGGGGAACAGAGCTAGAGAGTTAACTGAAGGTCAGACTCGAATGCATAAGGGGGAAGGATTTTGCCCATTGGGTCCCAGTTTAGAAAGTTTGGAAAAGACTGGCTTGGAGAGATTAGGTATGTTGCCTAAGGTTATACAGCTAGTAAGTGGTAGAACCAGGATTTGAACCCGGGCAAGGCTGACCCCATGTTTTTAATCACAACTTTCTGCCACTGTTTCAGGAAGCCAAACACCGGGTAAAGTAGTGGCAGTGAGGACAGAAAGGAGGGCATATTTGAGAAGGATTTAGGAAGTAGAGGTGCGGCAGGAAGCATCAGGAATTGTTCTGACGGTTATTTAGGAAAGGGAAGGCCTTTTACTGCGGGATGATTAGAGGAGGAAGGGAAGGTTGGACGAAGAAGTTAGTGAGTTTCAGACGTGTTGACCTGGAACTTCCTGCGAGATTTCCAAGCAGAGATGTCTAACAGGCATTGAGTATGATCCTGAAATTTAGGAAGCGTCTGGTCCCAAGATACAAGTGTGGAAATCTTCAGTACATAAATGGTAATTGAAGCCGTAGGATGGATGAGAGCTCCTAGGAGGAGTGAGGACACTGGGAAGAAAAGGGGTTCCAGGATGAAATCCTGAGATATACTTACGTTTAGTATTGGCCAGAGGAAGAGAAGCCCACAAAGGAGACTGAGAGAAGGGGTGGCCACGATGGGGAGTTAAAAGGCCAGGGATGGGGGTGAACAGAAGCTGTGGATAGGAAGAAATTTAGAATGTGAATTAAGGCCATTGACAGCATTATTACCACACTCTGGGCACAAGTTCTGGGTGGGACCAGCCTCTGAATAGGGCATTTGACCTCAGCCTGAAGAGGCAGCATGGGGTGTGGAATCAGAACAACTGTGTTCTAGGGTAGCATTTGGACCCTCTAAAGAGCTGATGAGTCTTTTATAAGATTATATACCTTGAGATCTATAGAAATAATAAAACCTAAGTGAATATTAGTTAATATTTCTATTAGATGACGTTTCACATATAATAGTGTGGGAGATCTAATCATTACTTAGACTTACAGGAGTTTCTTTAAGTAATACGATAATTGTTCTCTCTTTCCCCATAGGTTCGACCCAAGCCTGTGGCCCAGAATAACATTCCTATTGCCCCAGCACCTCCTCCCATGCTTGCAGCTCCTCAGCTTATCCAGAGGCCTGTTATGCTGACCAAGTTTACCCCCACGACCCTCCCTACCTCCCAGAATTCCATCCACCCCGTCCGTGTCGTCAATGGGCAGACTGCAACCATAGCCAAAACGTTCCCCATGGCCCAGCTCACCAGCATTGTGATAGCTACTCCAGGGACCAGACTCACTGGACCTCAAACTGTACAGCTTAGCAAGCCAAGCCTTGAAAAACAGGTACAGGCAAGAGGATGCACCTGCTTTGGGCAGTAGCCTTGCCATTGAGGCTCTAAATACATCTTCTCAAGGGCTCTTTATCTCAGCACCGTTGTCAATAACCTGTTGCGTATCATGTGATAATTTATTCAAAATGCAAAAGGGCCGTTCTTACTGAAGAAAGTTAGGTTGCTTTTTCCATTACCCCTTCTAGATGGATTTCCCGTCCTGTGTGAGTGAGCTCCCCCTGCTGGTTCTGAAGCAGAAGTTCACAGATGGGTCTGCTCCCCGGTCAGGAAGCACAGATGAGGCAGAATCAGAAATTGCCGTCTTAGCGTCAGCCCAGCAGGAACCCAGATGAGGACAGGACTGTGAAAGTCAGGAAGAATAAACAACAGAAGGAAAGGGATTTTATCTCAAAGATTTTTCCTGGTTATTACAGATAATGAAGAGCCAAATGAAAAAATTAAAATTTCTAAAAAACATTCTAACTCTAGAGGATACAGGTATTTTATCCCAAATATTGAAGCCTTAGCTGTTCTCTTAAAAACATGAGGCTAGAGAAATACAGGTAACCTCCAAAAATGCTTAAGGGCTCTATGACAGAAAGACTTCTAAAAACAAGAAAAAGGGTTTATAGGCAGTCACTGTAAATTCTATTTAAAGAAAAACCAGTGACGAAAAAGAAGACTTTTACAAAGAAAAGCATCCTCTTTCAAAAAGTTGCTTAAAAAAGTAACTGACCTACTTCTGATTGCTCGAGCTCGAGTTCCCATTCATCTGACAATAGTGTCTGGTGACCCTGACTCTTCTGCTTCTGGACGGCCGACTGTGATTCCAGAGGCCGCCAGATGCGGGATGAGAAGGCGCTCGCTGCTGCGGCCGCCTTGGGCAGAGACCCCGCACGTAGGCCGCCCGCTTCGCACCCAGGCAGCTCGGCCCCGCAGCCGCCTTTCCCGAGAGGCCAGGTGCCAAGGGGCTTGTGCTCACATGGCACACGGGAGAGCACATTTCTGTTTCTGGGGAGCCTACTCACACCCCAGGAAATGCTTTGAGGAACATTCAGAAATAAATTGCACATATTTTAGGTCAGAAGTTTTCAAACTTATCAGCAGAACTTCAGTATTAAAATATTGAATGTGGAATGCTCAAGCTTAGGGGCCTGGGTGGAGGCATGTTTGACGACCATCTGCCCTTGTGTCCTGGAATGGCTCTCACAGTACCTCTGAGGACCCTTAGAGTTCTAAAGAATGTGCTTTCGAAGCACTGTTTTAGATTGCTAAATGTTATTTCTCTTTGACCTCTTTTCTGATAAAGATCTTTTTAGGAGACAAGAATTTTCAGTTTTATCCGATTTTTACATTTGTTGTTTTTTTCTTATTACAAAGATGATACATATTCATTGTTTAAAAATACAGGTTATATTCCTTCACATATTTTCTATGCACACACTAACATTTTTAAAGCAATATGTATATTATTTTGTAACTTACTCTTTTTCTTATTAGAGCTTGAATATCTCTTCATGTTCTGGCCTTATACGTGATAGAGCTTTTAATTATAATATCATAGAAAGGTACCCATGAATTCTTAAAAATAAAAAATTCTTTTCTAGTGGTAAATTCTGTGGTCCCTCTTCTTGCCCTAATAGAAGAATCCAGTCATTGCTGCTTTAGCTTAGTAGGCTGCCTGGCATAAGTCTCTCACAGGGTACCAAGCTCGGCAAGGGTCACCGGCAAAGATTCTCTTTAGACCAGACTCCGTTCTCAGAATCCTCTTCTGACTTTCCTGTTACCCTTTTCTTTTTCATGTTTCATTTCCAGTATCACATGTACAGCCACTAAGAGATCTCGCAGATGGGCTAAGAGTGAAGCAATATAAATACAGGGCGGGGCAAATGCGGTTTACAGTTGTGAGTATGCAGAACAGTTTATTCTTGTATTATTATGTATTAATTATTGTAGTGTTTTACATATGAACAGCTGTAAGCCGACTTTTGCCTCCCCACCCTGTATGTAGCCATGAAGTACCACCTATAGCCTGCTCATAGAATTGTCAAAACCTGTTCCCAACGGTCTCTGTGTTGACTAGGCTGGGTGGGTTCCTTTCTGCTTTCTACTGTTCCTTTTGGGTGATAATATTCACTTAATAAAAATATGACCATGTGCCAGCTACTATGCCACACAGGGTGTTTAAATATAGATAAATGAAAGCCTGTAGCCTCCCAGCGCTTAATCTCCAGTGCATTTGGAACAGGCATCGAGGCTCTGCGTCCAGGGGAGGAAGCCTGGCAAGTTGTGTAGAGCCTCCCACCTTGGCGTAGGAAAGGGAGAAGACGGTGCCCATGACAGCAGTGGTCTCGCGTCTTCCCTGTCAGGCATCATCCAGAGGAGGGGTCCCTTGTCTTAGGCCTTATTAGAAGCCACATTATGTGGCTCTGAAAAAATGAGTGGTAGCGTTTAAAGAGCTTTAAGACGGACTACAAACATACTTTAAGGCAGAAAAGTAGACGAGTCCAAACTTACATCGCAGCCTCCACTTCACTACCTTCTATGCCCTTGTCCTGTGCAGCACTCTTAGAAAATGGGGCTGCACACCTGTTGATGGAATGAGATAAAATGTTTCAAGTCCACTAGACTATGTCTGACACAGTTAGTTCTCAACAATTATGGTCATTTCTTATCTACCCCACCCCATCCCTAGCAACAAAGACCTCTATGTACGCCCCAAGGCTCAGCTACTGAAAAAAATCCCAGGCTTTGTGGGAAAGACTACCAGATTGCTGCACATTCCCCTATTTCCATATATGTCGTACATAGGAACCTACACAATATCCTCTAAAGAAGGGAGTATTTTTAAGATGAGAATATTATCTGATGTGTTCTCCTCAAATCCCAGTCTTCCCTCTTAGTAAACTTGAGCTGGTGACTCTTTAATGCTTCTGTTTTAATACTATCATAGGGAAATAGATCCAAGTGACCAAGTAATGGATTTTGCTTTCCCTTCAAGCCAGATGTACTTAGCCTTAGTTGATGAAACTATTTGGACATTTATTTATTTGCTAGTTCCTGACTTTGATTATTCATAAAGCCAAGTCTCAGAAGATGAATTTGGAGTTACGAGTATAAATGGCTAACTCAGTTCTAGCCCTGTGCAGAGGTTTTGATTTCTGTCTTTATGATACCGAAAAGAACAGGGTTTACCAATTAAGCAGCCATGGGTGCGAAGCAGGAGATACGAATGAGTAAAGCAGGCGGGGCTTCTTATTTTTCCACTTTCAATGGGAACCTCAGTACAAGAGATATCCCACTTTTATTCTTGACTCCCCTCTGAAATAGTAAGACAAGAGTGATAAAACCGACAATTGGCCTTGGTTTCAAGAAGACAGTAGCAGGTGGAAGAGACTGGTAAACTGCGAAGAAATATCCCCCACCTCCAGGAAGCAGCTACTTCCTGACAATAGCCAATTTTTATCATATGGAAACTTTTTAAAGAAAAGCCAGATGAAATCACCCAGTTTTTTAAATACTAGTAACTGTTTAAACACCATGTAGGCAAAAAATATCTGCATGGAAGCTTCACCTCTGGATAAGGGTTTATAATCTCAGGTAGAGACCAAACTTTTAGCTCCATCCATTTTTAAATTTTGTTTCCCAACTTAATTTTTTAAATTGAGGTGAAATGCACATCACATAAAATTAACAATGTTGAAGTAAACAATTTAAGCAAAATGACATGTAATGAAACCAACTTTACCATAGGCTAGTTGATATAATAATCACAGGAACTTGTTTATATCAGTTAGTCTACAGTAAAGTTGGTTCAAGTCCCAGTTTTCAAAAACCTATTTGTGACATTAAGTGAGGACTTACTGTGTACATTTTTAGATGTTTTCATCAGATGTCATCTGGAAAGTCAGTCCAGCCTACGGTGGGCAAGGGTCAGCTCTGAACCAGTCCTGGGGGAATCACCCAACAGGTCAAAATACGTAACCGCGGGTTTTTGAGAACAAGGTCCATGTTGCTCCCCTGGCACCAGCAGGTCATACCAGGGACACAGGTTGCCATCCCCACAGGTTGCCATCCCCAGGTTGCCCAGCTAGGGAATGGGGTTTTATAGGTAGGTAAGGACAAATGCTTTCTTAGTGAAATTTAGCAGCCTCTTTCTTAAGTGTCCCACTAGTTGCAGTAAGTTTTTTATTAGATTCCAGGGTTCTAGAAAGTTGGTTCTGTTTTTGCCAGCTTAATGGTTGCTTCAGTAGGACTGATTCTTAGAGCTCCCTGTTCTGCCGTTTCTGTGGCGTGGCTCCCCCACCCTAAACAGCTTAAAACAACATATATTCTTTCTGTCACACATTTCCTGGGGGTCAGGAATCAGGTTGCATATAAGCTGGGTGGTTCTGGCTCAAGGTCCCTCAGAAGTTTGCATTCAAACTAATTGGTCAGGGCTGCAGTCATCTCACAGGCTCAACTGGGGCTGGAGAATCTACTTCCAAACTCAGTCACATGGCAGCTGGCAGGAGGGTCAGGTCTTCCCCATAGTGCTGTTCACAGCACAGCAGCTGGCCTCCCCCAGAATGAGAGTCTGTGAGAGGAAAATACCTCCCCAGTGTTTGTTTTATTTTTTGTATGCTTTTGGTGTGTTTTATCCAACGCTGAGATAGTTGTACTCTTCTGCATGAGAGAGAAAATTTGGACCCTGGATAAATCCTTAGTGGAGGGGAATTGGTATGTCCTTCCCTGGAGGCATTGCCACTCGCTCCATGCTTTACGCAGCCGTAGAGAGGGGATAAGTGACTTGGAATTCACAGTCTTGGAGTGGAGCTGCAAACCCTTCCAGTTGGCCTTCTGACTCCTGTCCCTCGGCATTAAGAGCGTGATGGAAATAAGCTTTCTGGACACCCAAGACCTTCATTATAAACCACTTTCCCATGTGGTCCCCTGTAGGTGTGTTTGGTGGTTTGTTTTATGGAGTAAGTGTGTGCTTTTTGGTTCATAAATGTGTGTGATGTGAGAGAGGGGGGACACGAGTGATTCTCCTGGTGGACATATTCCCCACTCAGAAGATCAGCTTCTCTTTAAAATATACCTGCTCTGTGAGGCGCCGAACCGGGCACAAAGGGCTGCAAAGTGTGTAGAACAGTCCCTGCTCTCACAAAGCTCATAGTGCAGAGGAGGAAATATGACAAGACGCTGATTAAAAAGGGGGGCAGCATCTGTACCACAGAACAGATGCTTAAAGTAATATGAGAAGGAAGATATGGAAGCAGCTAGGAAAGAATGTGAAAGATCTTGGTGATTGTGTTAGTTATTCCAGATCTAGTAAAATATTTTACAGCATTATGACTTTTGATGTCCTGCCTGTAGGACCAAATTCTTTTGCTTGCCTCCTTTTCATCAGTAATCAGTTTCATTATCACTTGTTTAATTACTTGTTGCCATACAAAAAGATCATTGGCATCTGCTTTTTTAATTTTGAAAAAGTAATTTAGGTTTGTGTTTAGTTTTATATCCACCGTTCCAACATCATTTCAGTATCTATAGAGGGCTTTGTAAAATGAACCATCTATTGGGTCATGGTAAGAATAGTAAGGCAAGCCCCTCTACCAATTTGCTAGCTGCCATTTGTGTTTGAAGATGATTATGCTGCTGGTGCTTCTTTTGTTTGAATGGATGCATCTGGAAGACGAGGTTGCAGGTAATCAGGATGTCAGTCTCTTGCGAGATGACCTTTCCTTGGCAATTGCATCTCTCTAAAGGATGATGCAGGCAGGTTTTAAATATCCCAAGTGAGGGTAGTTCTGCAACTTCTCTTCGATTATGATTAGAAATGTTCTGAAATAGAAGAGTGTGTATGTAAGATATTGTTTTTATATTGTTCAGATCTTAAGCACGCTGTGGACTGGAGCTTGACCCATATGTAACTAGAGTGGGCTTGCTTTTGGATAACTGCTCCTACTTTCTAAAATACATTAAAATCAGAGCAGCGTATGCTTTATCTTTATACATAGGAATTAAACCATGGATTTTTCTTTTTGTATAATTTAAACTATTGTATTTATAGACTCATATTTTCTCTAGCTATACAATTTAACCATTTCATCTGGGGCCTAACATTTTACATTTCTTTTCTTCCAAAATGAAGTCCATATTGCCTCCTTTATTACTATGTCTCCAGTTTGATTATGTTTTCTTTTTCTTGTAGACTATAGCCAAACTATGTTTGTTTTCATTCTTTTAATGAAAAGTGAATTCTGAATTTTTATTTAATTTTCCTCTTGTAGACAATTAAATCTCACACAGAAGCAGATGAGAAACAAACAGAGAGCCGCACCATCACTCCCCCTGCTGCACCCAAACCAAAACGGGAGGAGAACCCTCAGGTAGGTCCAGTGCTCCAAGGATGTAGCTCTGTCTAGGAGGTGTGGCATTTTCTCACACACCAGGAGGGACACTTGTTCCTGAATCACTCTATTTGGCTTTTCTTTTGCTTTCTCACTGTTCCATAATATTATTGCCCAGTCAGGTTGGCCAAGGGCATATAAAGTGTGGCCTTGAGTGTCCCATGAGCTGGCATAGGGCATTTTATACATGTCCCAAATTTGAAATGTAAGATTAGTGATCATCTTCCCAGATAGCCCGTTGCACTCCTAATGATCATTATGCTTTGTCTGTCTCAGCCAACATTTATAAGATGTTCAGTTCACTCAGCGAAGGTCAGTGTTATTTATTACAGTTGCTACATGTGCTTTTTGCTATTGCTATTGTATTGCACTGATTCCCAAATCCCAGGTGAACCAGTAGCTGAAAAGTAGTTCATTGAATAAAAGCAGGGATGAAGATTGTTAACACCTTTACCACAATTTAGGATAGAATTCTAAACTTAAATAGCAAACAAGACTCTGGTACAAATGTGGCGTGAATTCATATGTCCTTAGACAAGAGAATTTTTAAGTTGGATGATTTTACACAAGCAGCTATAACAGAAAAATCGGGCAGGTAATGCAATGATGAATATCTGATAGTTGGATTTTATTAGACCGGTAATACATTCCCTTCTGTCCTCAGTGCATTCTTTGTGATGAAACCCTGTCAGATAGTGGCATGAAGCTATCAAAGCTACATGTCATTAAAAAACAAACAGTGATTTATTAAGCCAGTGAAGGTTTTCCTAAAACAAGTACAAATTATAATTCTTCCTGATCCAGAATGAGTTAATTTTTAATGTATCTTAAAGGAGCAACCAAAACTTGAACCAAATTGCTGAGAAACTTGTAAAATCATCCATAAAATTAATGTTAAGTATAATGCTTGGAGGGGAAAAAATAGAGCCAGCTATTAGCAGAATTTCCTTATGAAGAGAAATTGAAGGGTACCTTATGCCAGTGGCACAGTGCAGGCAAGCAGGCACCAAGCATGTGTAGCAGCAGATACCTTACCTTCTAGTTGGACAGAGTCACTGCCATAAAGAGAATAAATTGGTTCTTGGCACATGTGTGATACAGAGATGAGACAAAAGTTTTTGACAACTTTTTGTTTTGTTTATCACTGAAAATCTGTTGCACAGGAGAGGACTTTTTTCATTTAATAATTCTTTTGTGAGCTCTTGGTCTAGACTGGCAGAGATGCGTTAGATGTAAGTGGCTAAGAAGGGTGCTGTCACCTGATTAAAAGAAAGTGCATCTGAATGTCAGTCTTCACACTGCTTTAACAGAGAGCAGTTGCTAGACAGCCTCCTAACCTTCATTACGTTTTGAAGGAATAGTGAAAATTAGGAATGTAGTTATTTGGCAACCATAAAATGCATGCTATTTCAGTGTGCAGTGCGGAAAATGGGCAGCAAGTCCAAGGCTGCTTTTCCTTGCCAAAGAGCTCTGGGTGTCAGGGGGAGAGGTGCCTACCTAAGTTTGGAATAAGAAATAAAATGAAAACATTTCTCCAGGATTCTGAGATATCAGTAAAGGACATTTCTGTGTTCTCCAGTGGCTTACTCTCAAGGGCTGTATCTTCATAAAACGCTATCTTGAGTAGCACGATCCTGTCACATCAGGCCAAAATATCATGGTATTTAATTTTGAGGATGAAATGTCAGGATTTTTTAAGCCCGAACTGTGGTATAAATAATTCTATGGGAGTATGTCTCCTAGCAATTGATGCTGTTCTTTATCCATCGACAGAAGAAATTGATGCTGCATTATGTGGCCCATATAGCGGAAAATGAAGACATACTTTCCAGACCACATGCAGCCAAAGAGCAAAACAGGCATCAATCTGTTGCTCTCTCCAACTTGAAGCTGTGGGGTGCAGTACCCTAATCAGTGTAGTCAGAGAAAAGTCGCTCCAGTTTTTAGGCTCATGTTTGAATGAAAAATCATAGTATTAAGCAGAACACCTGCTATCATTCCTAAAAATCATTTAGCTTTGAGTTAGCATTGTCCAGTCAGTGGTAGCAAAAATGTCAGAAACCCTGACTTGTCATGATAAGTGAAGATCTAGCCATGACAAGTGAACTACTCAGAATTTTGAACTTGTTGTATGGGAGACTCTGCATGTTTTTCGAATATGAAATCCTCTTCTCTCTCAGAAAATTAAAAAAAAAATTTTTTTATTGATTTTTTTAGAGAGTAACGGGGCGAGAAAGAGAAACATCTATGTGAGCATGAAACATCGTCAGCTGCTTTCTGCACACCCCCTACTGGGGACTGAGCCCGAAACCCGGCCGTGTGCCTGACTGGGAATCGAGCCTCTCAGTGCATGGGTGATGCCCAGCCAACTGAGCTACACTGGCCAGGGCTCTAGGGATTAAAAAAAAACAAAAAACTTGGGTCACTCAAGATGCTGACTTCTGTCACTGAGGAAGTAGAAGATTTAGCCCTTGCCCTTCTCTTTTGGTCCCTGAGAGACAAGAAAGCAGTGGCGTGGGTCGGTGGCTGTTGAGTGGAGGACGCCCTGCTCTTTTTCACCTGAACCTGGTCTCCTTCAGGCCACCGGCCTGCTGGGCTGGCTTTCTCTAGGAGTCTTAACTAGGAGCATGTGATTGACTTTGTGAGAACCCAGACTGAAGCATATTTATCTTTTGTTTCTCTGGCACAGAAACTTGCCTTCATGGTGTCTCTAGGGTTGGTAACACATGACCATCTAGAAGGTAAGCGAAGATATTCATGATGTTGCCTTGTTTCTGGCCCAGAGCTCAGTTCTTCAAAATGGTGTTTGGGTGTATTACTAGAATAGAAGAATGAAACTCAAGTAGAGTATCATTCAGTGTGGACCTTGTTTCCTTTAGAGTAAAAATTACTAATGTTCAGCCCCTCCCCTCCCTGTCATGTACCAATGTAGTCACACTGCTGTCCTGGGCAGACCACCCAGTTGCCTGGAGGGGAACTTTTTTCCCCTGACAGCATGGAGTAGCAAATGTCCCTCTGACTTTGTATGTTTCAATCACTCTTGGTTATCAGAAGCTTTTTTAAAAAAAATATGTTTTTTATTGATTTTAGAGAGAGCGGGAGGGAGAAGAATAGAGAGATAGAAACATCAACCGGCTGCCTCCTGCACGCCCCCTACTGGGGATTGAGCCTGCAACCCGAGAATGTGCCCTCACCGGGAATCGAACCAGTGACCTGGTTAATGAATCAGTGCTCAACCACTGAGCCACACCAGCCGGCAGTTATCAGACTCTTAAGAACAGTTACGAAGCTATACCTGTCTTGGTTATATAATTGGAGAATGGTGAACTGTGATTACTCAGTCTAGGTCTGTGGATAAAGTTCATTCACAGTATATTGCAGTGATCTAAAAAGAAATCAGGACAGCTTGTTCACAAGTGTTGTCTGCCATTAAGCACTCAGTCACAGAGAGCCACACTGGGACAGCTTGGTCTTGCTTTCTGAGAGGTGAGAGTAGATGGTCCTGCGTATTTGCTCCCAGCAGCGTGCTTGCCTCTGCTGAGGCTGCAGTGAAACAAAGAGACTGGCCCCCACTTCTGATTCGTCATGGGAAAACCAATAGTTAAAATGATGAAGTTAAGTTTTTGAGGTTCCTTATACCTCTCTTCTAATTGAAACCTTTTGCTTTCAAGAAATCCAAAGCAAGAGGCAAGAGCGAAAAAGAAGAACCACAGCAAACCCGGTGTACAGCGGAGCGGTCTTTGAGCCAGAGGTATTGCTGGCCGCGCCCGGCCCTTCCCTCGCCGCTCCTTTCGTGATGGCCTGTTCAGCGCCTCCCTCTTGAAAACCTGCTTAAGAGCAGTACCCAGATTGTACTTGCCCTGCTTTGTGAAATGATGGATTTTTCTCTGGCTGATCCCATTATTTCATTTTTATTATTCATTGCTTTCCCCTTAATTTTTTTCTAAGTTTGAACAGATACAAACCTTCCTTAAAAATTTAACTCATCCAGGCTTCAGCACAACTGTCATCTGAAGCAGAGGCAGATCTCCCTGGAATATATATAATAAAACATGTTAGCACTGAGACCTGGGGGTGACCGGCATTAGCTGGTTGGCATGCTGACAGGCGTGCTGTGCTTGGTCTTTAGCTTTGCCAGTATTAGGGGTAACCATGTATCCAACCAGTGACATTTCCTCCTCCGCTCCTCCCAGCGTAAGAAGAGCGCGGTCACGTACCTGAACAGCACCATGCACCCCGGGACCCGGAAGAGAGGTGAGCACCTTTCTCTCCCTCCTTGCTGTTGCCTTCACTTTCTGTGTTGTGTTTCTTCCCTCTCCCCTTGAAAATAGTTTTGTTGTTGTTCTCTGAGAATGGGGGAAAAGAGAGTGCGATTTCCTATTAGAGTTCTGTATACTGAGTGGAAAGCTGCCTTTCCTGGGATTCCAGCAAAGCTGACTCGGGAATGACTTCATGCAGCATTTCTGCCCCCAGCCCACCAGGCCGTCCCTGAGTACAGCACAGTGAACAGAACAGTGTGTAAAAGGAGGCCTGTTAGCATCACTGAGCGGAACAGAGTGTCGCTGTTGCCAAGGTGCTCTTAGTGGTGCCTAAGTCATCCTGCTGCCAGCGAGACTAGAGCAGCACTTGTAAGTCTCCATGAGCCGCAGACTTGCCAGGAAGGAGAGAGTAGCCACACCGAAAACTTAGAATCCATGAGAGGAAAGGTCACTGTCAAAACAGGCCTCCGAAAGCAGAAATTCCTAAAGAGCTTCATCCCCATATTTTAGACCTCCCCAGGGAAGGCATTCCCCCTCCCTCGCAGGGCAGAGACACTGCAGCAGCAGCTCTCACTGTGCAGGTCTAAATAGGTCTTAATAGCTCAGAGTTTGAGCTCATAAACAAGGTTCTGAAATCGTTCTTTGATGTCAGTAATACATCCCAAGGTCCCTTTCTCCACATGATAATGTGTCCCTGAATTACAGTTCCAGGCTAGAAAGGTTGCCGAGTGAGTGGAGTAGCATACTAATTTTTGCGTATGCACACACAATCTCAGAGCTACAGGAAGCGTAGGAGGTCACCCTGCCCCTTTGTCTGCCGTAGGGAGGGCTGCAACTGCACCACTACCACCTCTGCCCCCCAAGAGGTAGCGTACCCACCCTGAGTGACCCAGCTTCATGCTGCCTCAGCCCCGTCCTTCAAGTGGTCAGAAATATTTAGATGAGAAATCCGAAGCCATTGCTTCATATCAGTTCCTGGGCCATAATAATCAGTGTCATGGGTTATTTTTTGTTGTTTTGTTTTCGGCAATTTTTAGTAACCTCTGACACAGTTCTCAGATAGGAACCCCCAGCCAAAAGCTACAGTTAATTGGCCTGCTGGTGGGCTGTATCTGCTAAAAGGACAGGGGTTAAATGAGCCAGAAAGACCTTGGCACCTCTTGCCAAGGTCAGAGGATGAAAGCCTGCACTCACAATGCCTAGGATATGCCTTCCGTGGGTAAACAAAGAGCATTCATCTTCCACTTCTCCTCCTTGCAGCACTAAATTCCCCAGAAAGACACACCAGTACGATCTGTCTTTGTACTGCAGACATTCCCAGTTTAACACAGACAGGTAATGTTTGTGTTATGTCTGACAGTATCAGGACTCCTGCGCATAATTTTGATATAAATTATAACTCTTGGCAAGGTCATGATTCTGCGTACCATTGCCAGTGTTCGTAGGCAGTTGTGTGCCTCTCTGGCTCTTTATTTCCCTGTGGTGTTCTAGGCATACACTGTTCACTCACAGCTTAGAAGCTATGACCCTGGCCTAAGAAGACAAGGACCCTGACTTAGACATATCAGGCAGGAGTGGTTAGCCTGGACTTTCTACACCCATTCGGGTTCATTTATAGATCCTCTGTAGCCATGAGGTTTGGTTCAGAATACCCTTGCTCACATCAGATCCCTCAGTTGGCTGTGTTGCTGATCACTGCCTTCCTGAGACTTTGGACCAGCCCCATTTCTCAGACACATAGTTCACCAGGATGTGATAGAAAGCAGGGAGACAATCCTCCATCAACTGGGGAGGACCCCTGAGCCCAGACCTCCTTAAATTCACATTTAAGCTCAGGACATCGTTTTAGCTCTTAGGTTCCAGCTACTCCTGGAACATATCTCTCAGTAGCTCTACCAGCAAGAGGTAAGAATGGTTGACTTGAATTTAGTCTCCTTACTTCACCTTTCCCCACCCTATAGGCAGTGAAATGACCAAAATATAGGCAGGAGACAACAGGAAAAGCAGAAATCCCAAATAAATCCACTTGTGGGAACTGAGAATCATTAATATTATTGTAAGAGTAATGGTTGCAGAGAAACATTAGAGAACATGCAAAAGATATGGGGAAATAAATTCTTATTCCTGGCCGTGGCTGCCAGCGAGCTTTGGTTCTCGCCCGGGAAACCTGATTGTCATAGACCAGGAATGGCACTGTTACTGCCAAGCAAGGCCCTTTAACACGACCCAGCGCCTCCTGTCTTCTCCAAGTTCTCTCTTCTCCTCCCTTCTTGCGAGACTCAGGCAGTTGTTTCTAATGACATTTAAGTCTTTGCTTCTCTCCCTGTCTCTGGGACTGTTGTATTAACCTCCTGTCTGCTACCTCGCTTCCTTTTCCATGCTAGCCAATGAGGAACACTGGCCAAAGGTATGTAAGATCATTTTCCCCCTTTCTTTCCCTCCCCCCTTTTCCCCTTTTGTTCCCTCTCTTGGTATATAGGTCGTCCTCCAAAATACAATGCAGTGCTGGGGTTTGGAGCCCTTACCCCAACATCCCCCCCATCCAGTCATCCTGACTCCCCTGAAAATGAAAAGACAGAGACCACATTCACTTTCCCTGCACCTGTTCAGCCTGTGTCCCTGCCCAGCCCCACCTCCACAGACGTAAGTAACATGGGAAAAGCTCACTGTCTCTCTGAGACCTTCAGTCGGGGAAACATTGTCCTGTGTTGTCTCTTACCAGCTGCATCTCCCCGACTAGCCCTGGAACACAGTGATCCCTGCAGGACACTATGCTGGAAAGGCAGCTTTCTGCTGGGGCCCCTTGTTTCCGAATCTGGATTTGATGTGCTGTGAATGAGTTCTCAGGAAGGGGGACGGGGTGGGAAGTCAGCTCGTGTCACTGAAAAGCATGCAGGTTTCTGTCATCAGTGTTTTGGAGGTGGGGAAAATGGACAAGGTGTATGTTCCCCTAGCAGTTGTTAGCTGCTTCAAGTAGAATTCAGGAAGTGGAAAACTTTTCTCTCAAGCAGCCATATTCAGCAGTCGGTTAGAAACAGGTTCTAGAAAAAGTGCCAAATACTCAATAGTCCTTCACCCAGAAACTACAGGAGTGTCACCTAGTGCCCTGAGTTTTTAAATAAGCATTTAAAAAGCAGTGAATTCACACAACAAATACATATTGAGCACTACCCTGTGGAGCAAGCACTGTCCTTGAGGCTGAGGACAGAACAGGGAACTAAACCAGCTCCTTGCCCTGAAGGAGCTCATGTTGCATGGTGAGGGGCAGGTGACAAGCAGGTGAACACGTAACAGGTCAGGGAGTGAGAAGTGCTGTGAACAAAGTGAGACGGGTAAGGGGCGTAAAGAGTTGTGGCAGGAGGGTGCTCTTTTATGAAGATTGCTGAGAGAAAGCCTCTCTGATGGGAAGGGGAGTTCATGGGGGGAAGAGCACCCCGTGAAGAGGGAGCAGCAATGCAAAAGCCCTGAGGTAGAAGCATACACTCGTGGAAGAAAAAGGTCAAGTGGGGCTGGAGCAGGTGAGTGGTGGGAGACGAGACCCCAGAGGTGGCAGCGTCGGCTGTGGAGAGCCTGGTGGCTTTTACTCTGAATGAAATAGGACACATAGAGGGTTTTGAGTAGAAGTGTGATATAATTTTTTAACTTTATTTTGAAAATTTTTAAACCTATAGAAAAGTTGCAGTAACAATACAAGGAACAAATGTCTGCCCTTCACCTAGATTGACCAGTTATTTTCATTTTGCCACATATGCTTCTCCCTCCTACATGTGCGCTCGCATACACATATACACACACATATACACACACACACATATACATATATACACACACACATATACAAACACATACACACACATATATACACACACACACACATACACACATATACATATATATATACACACACACATATACACACACATATACAAACACATACACACACATATATACACACACACACACATATACATATATACACACATATACAAACACATACACACATATACATATATACACACACATATACATATATACACACACACATATACACACACATATACAAACACACACATATATATACACACACACATATACACACATACAAACACACACATACACACATACACATATATATACACATATACACACATATACAAACACATACACACACATACATATATATACACACATATACAAACATACACGCATATACATATATACACACACACATACAAACATACACACATATACATACACATATACATANCATATACAAACACATACACGCATATACATATATACACACACACATACAAACATACACACATATACATACACATATACATATATATACACACACACACATATACATATATATACACACTTTTTTTTTTAATTCTCACCCAAGGATATGTTTTTTTAGAGAGGGGGGGAGAGAGAGAGAGAGAGAGAGAGAGAGAGAGAGAGAGAAATATGTGAGAGAAAAACATCAATTGGTTGCCTCCCATACGCACCCTGACTGGAAATCGAACCCACAACCTTTTGGTGTGTGCGATGAGACTCCAACCAACTGAGCCACCCAACTAGGGCCACAGGTTTTTTTTGCTGAACTAGTTAAGAAGAAATTGCAGACATCATGAATCTTCACCCCAAATTCTTCAGTTTATATCTCCTAAGAATAAAGATATTCTCTGATATAGTCACAATACAGGTATCAAATTGAGGAAATTGAATATTGATAAAATGTTATTATGCAATACACAGTTCATATTCAGCTTTCTCCATTTGTCTCAATATTGCCTTAGCAGCACTTTTTTTTTCTGCTCCAGGATCCAATTCAAGATCACTCTTGACATTTATTGTCTCTTAGTCTCCTTACTCTGGAGCAGTTTCTCAGCCTTTGTCTTGTATGACATTGATATTCTTAAAAAAAGCCAGCTGCTATGTAGAGTGCCCCTCCATTTGGATGATCGGATTGTTTCCTCAAGAACAGATGCGAGTATGCATTTTTGTAGGGACACTAAAAAAGTGGTGAGCCCTTAGTGCATCACAGCAGGAGGCAGGTGTTGTCAGTCTGTCCTGTTGTTGGTGATGCTGACTTTCATCTTCTAAAATAGATCACATCAGATGTCTCCACTTGTAAAGGCGCCTATTTCCTCTGGTGGAGACAGCTTTGAGTCTGTGTAAATATCCAGTTCTCCAGCAAACTGTTGCCCGGTGGATTTAGCATCTTTTGCTGGTTCTTGCCTGCATTTATTATTTTAAGGTGTTTGCAAAATCAAGTTGGATTTTAAAAGGATTGCTGTGTGTGAAGTATGGAGAAGAGACTGGGAGGGTAGGATGGGAGCAGGGAGACCAGCAAGGAGGCTGTTGCATCATCCCAGCAAGAGCCAGTGCTAGCTTGGCCTAATAGGACAGAAGGAGAGGTGGAGAAAAGTGATCGATCCACATCTATTTTGAAAAGCCAGCAGGATTAGATAATGGGATATGAGAAAAAGAACAGTCAAAGGTGAATCCAAAGTTTTTGGCCTAAACAGCTAGAAGGCTGAAGCTGCCATTTACTGTAGATGACCAGGGGAGAGGTTTGGCATGTCCCATTTCTCTTGTGAATTACAGAGCTTGTCTTTAGGATCAGCTTCAGGTAAAATATCCCTTGAATTTGCAGGCTTTTAGTATTCTAAGGTCTGTCCCTCTCCAAAGAGCAAAAGAATACCATCTGCACATTCTGAATTAAAAGTTTCAGAAATAACAAAGGAAGTGTCGTCTTTGGAGACCAGGGTCATAGAAGAGCTGTTTTCTGACAGGTTTCCTTTCTTCAGCGTAGTTGGTGGTCCAGCTTTCCTGACTTTTGGCATAAGTCATTGATTCAAGTTTTCTCCTGTTAACTAGTACCAGGAGTCCCTGTTAGAACCTAGTTTGGTGGTACCAAAGATTGTCCCAATGTTTTCTCAGTTAAAGCATTGCCACGGGATAGACAGCTCGGAGCTTCTTGGTAGGGCTGTCCCCCAGGGTGGTGCACAGTGCTGGGAAAAGGTGATTTTGTGGTTCTGCATGTGAGTCTCTCTGAAACAGTGTTGTTTTTATTTTTGTGATTTTGGGCTGAGGGGCTTTATAAAATGGTTTATTTGAAAGGATCCATACAGATCTAATCACAGACTAAAAGCTTCTGCCAGGTTTTGTTTTAAAATACAAACACTGTTCTTTTTAGAAATTGAAAGGTAAAAGGAAGCTTTTCTAAAACCACTAAATGTGTTGATAACTTCCTAGGTTAAACCTAGTGCAGTGGGTTGTGGTTGTTTTTTAAGATAATTGACTTCTACTTTTACAGTATCTCAGTGGCAGTTATTAAAATCGACACACAGGGCTGTATATTAGCTCCTGGGTGTCATGAGCCCCAACAACATTAATTAAACAATAACAGTTGAGAGGCAGGTATTTCCTGGAGATCAGTACCATCTAGAAGGAACTTAGTGATACAAGACACCGCCAGGCACTAATCTCAGGATGTACCTTGTTACCACTAACATCATTTTTATGAGAAGGAAAGATGAGTTGACATAGTTATACAATTTTTTTAGCAAATGATGAAGTCGCAGTTGATACAACCAGGGTGTTTCTAAAAATCGTCTGTCCTCAGCTCCTAGCAAAGAATCATGGGTCAGCCGTCTTTCAGCTTATGTTTGGTTTATGGTAATAATTTGGTCAGTCGCCAGGGCCTAAGCTTTTTGACTTGGGGCAGCACCTCGTGGGGCTTCCTCTGTTCTGTTTAAGCAAAGAACCAATTCTCTGTGGATGAGATACATGTCTTATGATTTCATATTTATTTCTGTGGCCAGTAGTTCTCAAGTATGGCCTTTGGGAGTCCCTGAGACTCTTTCGTGGGGTCCATAAAATCAAAACTATTTTTATTAAAACATTCTTTTCCAGTTTCATTCTCATTCCCTCAAGAGTGAACAGTGGAGTTTCCTAGATATTACATGACGTGATGATATCATCACTCTAATGGCTAATGGGTAGTGCACCTGTGTGTTCTGGGGTTTTAAATTTTTTCAATATACTATTTTTATAACTTCCTGTGATTCTATAATTATTTCAAAACTAAAAAATTTTAAAACTTCTAATACAGTAACCATCATATTAACTCCCATAAACAGAAGCTCTTTGAGGCCCTTAGTAATTCTGAGAGTCTAATGGGGTCCTGACACCAAAAGAGATCAGGAGCTGCTGCTACGGGCTGTGTAGAGAGGAGATTTTTCCCGTGGCAGCTTGAAAGAAACAAATAACTAATTTTACGTGCTCTCCACCTTCCACTTCACGCGCCCCTTACTCAGGAGCGAAGGAAAGTGAGCGGAGCCCCACCCAGCACATTCCTCGCAGTGAAGCGTCCAGCTTGTCTCCCGTCCTTCACGCCTAATTCTGTCTGTGGTTCGTGTAAATCTCTCTGAACCCCTAAAATTTTATGCACTTCATAAAGACGCAGACTTACAACGTGAGGCAAGGTCCAGGAAAGACTAGCTCTCTAGAGAAGAGCACCCCTCAGCCCGATTTCAAGAATGAAAGAAGATAGTCACTGTCCGTCGAGGGATGGAACTAAACTACCTCTTTCAGGGCCTGGAAGGTGAAGTGTTTGTTGGGCTGCATTCTCGTGCAGTAGTTTTGCACATGTACTGAGTACCTTTTTTACTGCCCAGGTAACATTTTCTTACTCAGAAGGGTTAAAATCCCTCCACACTCTGATTATCTTATAACTTTTCCAGCTGCTGGAAACCCTGGTGAACGACAGAGAAAGTCTCCTTTCCTAGAGAGAGAAATCGCAGGTGTGGGCAGGCAGGTTCCTTCAGGTGGTTGAGGGGTTATATCACGGAAAGGAGGCATTGAGCATTGCCCTCTGTATCACTGCGTCCTGTACCTAGTTCCTGAATTAGGCCTTTGGGCAGAATAGCCTAGAAATCTAAAACAACAAATTGGAAGCGAAAGAGGCCTGGTCCAAGCTGTGACACTGCCTTTGCTGACTTACCTCCGACACATCCCTTCAGCCTTCCCTTCCCTGGTGTCTGTCAGCAGCATTGATCCTGTTCAGAGAACAGGTCAGGGACTGACTTGCTGGAAATACCTCTTTAACAACCCC